TGGAATAAACGTTTTGATAGTGTAATCAAAGCATTTGGTTTTTTACAGACTTTTGGAGAAGCCTGTATTTACAAGAAAGTGAGTGGGAGCTCTGTAGCATTTCTGATATTATATGTGGATGACATATTACTTATTGGAAATGATGTAGAATTTCTGGATAGCATAAAGGGATACTTGAATAAGAGTTTTTCAATGAAAGACCTCGGTGAAGTTGCTTACATATTAGGCATTAAAATCTATAGAGATAGATCAAGACGCTTAATTGGACTTTCACAAACCACATACCTTGACAAAGTTTTGAAGAAGTTCAAAATGGATCAAGCAAAGAAAGGGTTCTTGCCTGTGTTACAAGGTGTGAAGTTGAGTAAGACTCAATACCCGACCGCTGCAGAAGATAGAGAGAATATGAAAGATGTTCCCTATGCTTCAGCCATAGGCTCTATCATGTATGCAATGCTGTGTACCAGACCTGATGTGTGCCTTGCTATAAGTCTAGCAGGGAGGTACCAAAGTAATCCAGGAGTGGATCACTGGACAGCGGTCAAGAACATCCTGAAATACCTGAAAAGGACTAAGGATATGTTTCTCATATATGGAGGTGACAAAGAGCTCATCGTAAAAGGTTACGTTGATGCAAGCTTTGACACTGATCCGGACGATTCTAAATCGCAAACCGGATACGTGTTTACGGTGGAGCTGTCAGTTGGTGCAGTTCTAAACAAAGCGTTGTAGCGGGATCTACATGTGAAGCGGAGTACATAGCTGCTTCAGAAGCAGCAAATGAAGGAGTCTGGATGAAGGAGTTCATATCCGATCTAGGTGTCATACCTAGTGCATCGGGTCCAATGAAAATCTTTTGTGACAATACTGGTGCAATTGCCTTGGCAAAGGAATCCAGATTTCACAAGAGAACCAAGCACATCAAGAGACGCTTCAATTCCATCCGGGATCTAGTCCAGGTGGGAGACATAGAGATTTGCAAGATACATACGGATCTGAATGTTGTAGACCCGTTGACTAAGCCTCTTCCACGACCAAAACATGATCAGCACCAAGGCTCCATGGGTGTTAGAATCATTACTGTGTAATCTAGATTATTGACTCTAGTGCAAGTGGGAGACTGAAGGAAATATGCCCTCAAGGCAATAATAAAGTTATTATTTATTTCCTTATATCATGATAAATGTTTATTATTCACGCTAGAATTGTATTAACCGGAAACATAATACATGTGTGAATACATAGACAAACAAAGTGTCACTAGTATGCCTCTACTTGACTAGCTCGTTAATCAAAGATGGTTATGTTTCCTAACCATGAACAATCAGTTGTTATTTGATTAACGGGATCATATCATTAAGTGAATGATCTGATTGACATGACCCATTCCATTAGCTTAGCACCCGATCATTTAGTATGTTGCTATTGCTTTCTTCATGACTTATACATGTTCCTATGACTATGAGATTATGCAACTCCCGTTTGCCGGAGGAACACTTTGTGTGCTACCAGACGTCACAACATAACTGGGTGATTATAAAGGAGCTCTACAGGTGTCTCCAAAGGTACATGTTGGATTGGCGTATTTCGAGATTAGGATTTGTCACTCCGATTGTCGGAGAGGTATCTCTGGGCCCTCTCGGTAATGCACATCACTTAAGCCTTGCAAGCATTGCAACTAATAAGTTAGTTGTGGGATGATGTATTACAGAACGAGTAAAGAGACTTGCCGGTAACGAGATTGAACTAGGTATTGGAATACCGACGATCGAATCTCGGGCAAGTAACATACCGATGACAAAGGGAACAACGTATGTTGTTATGCGGTCTGACCGATAAAGATCTTCGTAGAATATGTAGGAGCCAATATGGGCATCCAGGTCCCGCTATTGGTTATTGACCGGAGACATGTCTCGGTCATGTCTACATTATTCTCGAACCCGTAGGGTCCGCACGCTTAAGGTTACGATGACAGTTATATTATGAGTTTATGCATTTTGATGTACCGAAGTTTGTTCGGAGTCCCGGATGTGATCACGGACATGACGAGGAGTCTCGAAATGGTCGAGACATAAAGATTGATATATTGGAAGCCTATGTTTGGATATCGGAAGTGTTTCGGGTGAAATCGGGATTTTACCGGAGTACCGGGAGGTTACCGGAACCCCCCGGGAGCTATATGGGCCATAGTGGGCCTGAGTGGAAAAGAGAAGGGGCTGCCCAAAGTGGGCCGCGCGCCCCTCCCCTCCCTTAGTCCGAATAGGACAAGGAGAGGGGGCCGGCCACCCTCTCTCTTTTCCCCCCTCCGTGAATCCTATTCCAACTAGGATTGGGGGGGGAATCCTACTGCCAGAGGGAGTAGGACTCTCCTGGCGCACCTCTTCTAGTCCGGCCGCACCCCCCCCCCCTTGATCCTTTATATACTGAGGCAGGGGAACCCCAGAGAGACACAAGTTGATCCACGTGATCTTATTCTTAGCCGTGTGCGGCGCCCCCAGCCACCATAGTCCTCGATAATATTGTAGCGGTGCTTAGGCGAAGCCCTGCGACAGTAGTACATCAAGATCGTCACCACGCCATCGTGCTTACGGAACTCTTCCCCGACACTTTGCTGGATCAGAGTCCGGGGATCGTCATCGAGCTGAACGTGTGCTAAAACTCGGAGGTGTTGTAGTTTCGGTGCTTGATCGGTCGGGCCGTGAAGACGTACGACTACATCAACCAAACGCTTCCGTTGTCGATCTACAAGGGTACGTAGATCACACTCTCCCCTCGTTGCTATGCATCACCATGATCTTGCGTGTGCATAGGAATTTTTTTGAAATTACTACGTTCCCCAACAGTTAATGTGCAACACCACATCCAAGGGTCGATGAGTGTGATGACGATTCATCAGGGGGCCGCACCCTTCGCATTGATGTACTTATCACAAGATGAAAAGATTACTCTGATGCGGCATTCATGTGCAAGAAAAATCCCTGGCTTATTGCATGGCATCATAGCTATCGTGCAGGACCAGAGGGACACTCAAGTGCAGATTCAAACATCGGCTCCGATCACTTAATCTCCTCTTCAGGGTGAAGCTTTGGCTCTTGTTCTTGCGGCCAAAGTGACCCATGCTTGGCAGATTAATCTCTTTGCAAAAGCGGCTGCGGCCAGAAGTATTTCACCTAACTTTTGTTTTTTAGATGAAAGGATCGAGCCGAGCCTGAGTAGGGCTTGATCTTCACCCGACTTTGAATTAACAAAGCCATCAACCGACCAGGATTACAAGAGCACACCATACAACCGAAGATAAAAAGGAAAATGGGGATGCAACCCCAGGCAGCAGATGCAAGGCACTAATGAGGCTAAAATCTATGACCAGAGAATAAAAAGAGTACAACTTGGAGACCTAACAGGGGCTAGACGGGATTGCGCCAAGGAAGGAGCTCGCCACCGACACGCCGAAGGCAAAGCGGAGCTGCTCTCGCTAGAGCCAGCAAGAAAACAGGGCAACCACTCGAGCACACCCGAAGCCACAAATTGCAACTTGCACGTGAGGAGCATGCCGCAGAGAGTAGCCATAGGAATAGAGCACTTCAAGAAGACACGGTGAGCAATGGGCAACGACGCCACCAGGAGGGCCGAGCCACACTAAGACCAGCGACACTCCTCCAACAACACGACCAGATCGCCGTAGAGGGGACCACTATCCCCTCTCGCCCAGGCCAAGGGCGTCGACCCACCGGACAACCGGACCGCGCAGAGGAGGAAATGAAGCAGCTTGAGGAGGGCATCGATCCTCCATGGCGGGAAGTCACCGTTGGACGAAGGATCCGCCACTAACTAGGACACCAAAGGCTTGCCTAGGCCATCCTCCATCCCACAACCCAAAACGATGCCTTCAAGAAGGAGGTGCAGGAGCACCGTCGCCGCCCAACCAAGGCTGTGGATTTTCACCCGGAGTAGGGGAGGGAGGAGGGGAGGGAGATGGACCTCAACGTCGCCTTCAGGAAGAGTAGCGGCGCCCGGAGCGCCGCCGACGATGTGGCCGCCGCCGCGGACCAAGAGGTTACCCCGATCCAGGGCTCCTCACCCCACCACCATGGGGTCGTCCACCGGATCCAGCAAGACATGGCATAGGAGAGGTTGCGTCAGTAGCCAAAGAAGGCGTATTCAGATCTGGAGAGGCCAGACACGGGGACCCGACCACCAGCCGCTCGGATCCACCGCCGGCCCGTCACCCACACAGCTGGGCAGAGGCGGCCCACCGCGCCAAGGGACACTGCCCGCACCACTTGGAGCCGCCGCCCCGAGCCCTAGCCCCCTGCCCAGCGACAGAGCGGAAGAGAACCCCGCCGCCGCCCTCTTCAGCGGCCGCGTGGGGAGCCCGGCGACTGCCTCCGGCGACGGTGAGGAGGGGAGGTCCGAGAAGGGGGGTTAGCGGCGGCTTTGGGAGGGAACCCTCGAGTCGCCCTCAGGAGGGCGACGCGAGGGGAAGGGGAGGGCCAATCAAGAATTGGAATTTTTTTTTATGGTTGATTTTTGTTTTTGAGAACCTATTTCAGCTGATTCTATTCCTTGGACTATTAGAACCACTCTTGTGATCTCTTCGGGTCAACAAAACATGTCCACATGCAGGTGTATCACATATCTAGGAAGATCAATGGTATTGCTCGTAATGTTGCTCATGAGGTAGTTGCATGGTTCAGCTCACAGAACACACATGCGTTGCCTTGTAATCTCTCTTCTTTCCCATCTAAATCTCCAGGACTTTGTACAACATGTTTTTTAGGGGCTGTACGCTGGTTTTGGGCTGAATGAAATTGGACGCCTTCGGCGCCTAATACCTGTTAAAAAAAGAAAAGAACAAAAAGGCACATATTATTCCTATCCCCACGACCACGACCACGAAACCCTCCGCCGTCACTACCTACCACTTTTCCCCACACGTCTCTACTTGTCCACTCTACCCCTGCGACAGATCGAGATGCAGGTCTAGCTTCACGCCGGCGGCCATGGCGGAGGCAGCAAGGGGAGGGCCGACGCCTCCTCATGGTGGCATCCCGGATGAGATCCTCATCTGGGACATCCTCGTCCGCCTGCCCCCCAAATCGCTCCTCCGCTGCCGTGCCGTCTGCCGCGCCTGGCGCACAGCCACCTCCGCCCGCGACTTCCTCATCGCCAACCACGCCCGCCAGCCCACCCGCCCCCTCCTCTACGTCTGCAACCTTCCCCACTACGGCCACTACAAGGTCGGTGGCGACATAGACATCATCCCCTTCGACCACCGGGCCGCCGAGCCTCCGAATTCAAAGATCTGGTGGCCTCCTTTGACGGCCTCGTTGTCTTCGACTGGTGGCGCCGCAAGTCCTTGGGTATCTGCAACTCAGCGACCCGTCAGTATGCCCGCCTCATGGTGCCTATGGACTTCACGTTCTTGGGGATGTACCGTCACCCCCCAACCGGCGAATACAGGGTACTGATGTACCCGTGTCTGGCAGCTGGGAGGGAAGCTGGCTGCTATGTTTTATCGTTGGGCTCCATCCAACCGCCGAGAAGCATTGTCAGGCCGGGGGGAGTGCATAAAGAAGTGATATTCGGCAGCAAGTCTGTGCTATTCCGTGGCGGGCTGCACTGGTACAGGGTGCAGCAGCACGAGGGCGAAAGCAACATGATAATCGTATTTGACACCACAGCCGAGACGTTCCGACAGATGCGCGTCCCGGTTGTTCGTGGTACCACCTGTGATGGGCTATTTGAGATGGATGGCATGCTCGGCATGTCTAGCTTTAACGACAAAGCGACAAGCATTGATATCTGGGTGTTGCAGGACTATGCAAGCGAGGTCTGGACCTTCAAGTGCCACATTGAACTGCCGCTTGCAGAGATTATGGCGTCGTGTGGAAAACGCGATGACGATGACTCTTGGGAAACGGTGGTCGTGCCTGGGGATGGTGAGTTGCTTGTCCTGGTCAAATTTCCCAACTGGCTAGTTCAGGTTGACATGGATGGCAAGTTGGTCGCCACTTTCAATCACACAGGTGTCCAACCTACTCAACTGCAGCTCAAGCAAAGTCTTGTTCCGCATGACTATTCTTTCCATCGCTACATGGTTATGTTGTGAACGGTTGGCCTTTCACCTGAAGTCTGATGAGTCCGCTGATGCATTTCAATGTCCTGGATGTTTGTATCCTCATGAGCTGCAGTATGTATGAATTAGGTCCACTATGAGCTGCAGTATGTATGAATTGAAGGGTTTTGTCGGCTTGTTTTGCTGTTGCCTCCAGCAAGTACTTTATTTCGTTGTACTTTCGAACCTTTATGTTACTTGTGGACTTCCGTTTGCGGTGTGGTTGTATCGTGGTTGTGGCTTCATTTGTAAAACAGGGCAAGATGTCTTTTTTGGTAAGCTTCTTTGTTGATGCATGTAAAACTCAAATCGAGAATCTTTGGTTGTTACATAGTTGCATGAAATCTATGTTGGGCTTATTGTGTGCATCAATGCCAAAATTACCAAGTCATTTTGGTGTGTGTTTGTACTATGTGCTAACTAATCTGCCCCATGTATCTGTTTTCTTGAACCGGAGAATTGACTTCGGTTTTTTATCCTGAGCCTCTAGGTGTCGTCTTGCTACTTATTACTGGTAATCTACCTTCCTGGTGTCTCTATTTCTTGAACTCAAGAATTGACGTTCCCTTTTTATCCAGGTCTTATTTTTTTTGCGAGAGATTATCTGGTGGCCTTATTAATAATGATGGTTGCAGCTTTATTTATAAAGTGGGGCAAGATAACTTTTTTGGTAAGCTTCTTTGTTGATGCATGTAAAATATAAATCAAGAATCTTTGGTTATTACATGGTTCCATGATGTTTACGTTTGTGTCAATACCCTTTTGGAAAGAAGGGATTGTTGTGCGCGTCAATGCCGAAATTACCAAGTCATTTTCCTATGTGTTTGTAATATGTGCTAATTAATCTGCCCTATGTATCTATTTTCTTGAACTGGAGAATTGACTTCGCGTTTTTATCCTGGGCCTCTAGGTGTCTTCTTGTTATTTATTACTGGTAATCTACCTTCCTGGTTTCTCTATTTCTTGAACTCAAGAGTTGGCTTTGCCGGTTTTTATCTAGGTCTTCTTTTAGTCTGAGAGATTATATGGTGGCCTTATTAATAATAAATATTTGATAATCCACATGTGTTTCCTGTTTCTTTTTTGCTCTGCCTAGCAAATTGTCCTCTGTGTTGACTTGCAAGTTGCACCTAATTTGTAGAAGAGCTTGGATCTCTACTATTTAATTAAATGATTGCGCAATCGGTAATTTGTCTTCATTAATCTATATTGGAAAGTACAGCACCAGGAATTATGTGGGCAATGCTGTTGTAGAAGCGAGTTGAAAGCTCACTCTTGTCACTTGTTACTGCGTGTATTATGATCCATCGCAGGACAACTGATCATTCCTTACCGCCGATGAATTATGTACCACTGCATAGAATTGCTCAGATATCGAATTAGTATGTGGATAATTTACTATGTAACCCTTTTGGAGTCCCCGGTAACATTTTAAACCATGGAATGCAGCATACAACTTCAACATTCAGATCCTCTCCAGGCCCTCGTGGCAAGTATCGTGCGCTGCAGGCATGCATTGTGTGGAGAGCAAAGGAGGGAAAATGTGATGGAGATGGCTGGGTGTGGATCGGGCTCGATGTTCAGATCCACTCTGCAACAAAGGTATCAGCGATGCAACCACCACCTTTCCATATGTTGTCACTTCTCTGAATGTTAGTACTTTGTTAGTGTAAAAGACCGTCGGCACTTAAAGAAAATGCAGTAATCATGCAATTGAAAGCACTGAAATTTCCTAATTGTTATCTTCCGTGTTTGGAGCTACAACTTTAGTTTCCACTCTACTATGTATGTCCTCAAAAAGTAGAGGAGCTAATGTACAGTTTCGTAGGTAGCGGCAGTTCATATTCTACATAAGTATGCAACTGTTTGAGTAAAAGCTTAAATTTAGGAAACGTTGATGAGTCCGCTGATGCTTTTTAATGTCCTAGGTGTTTGTATCCTCATGAGCTGCAGTATGTATGAACTGGATCCACTATGAGCTGCAATATGTATCAACTTTAGGGTTTTGTCAGCTTGTTTTGCTGTTGCCCCCAGCAAGTACTTTATTTCAATGTAATTTCCGAACCTTTATGTTACCACTGGACCTCCGTTTGTGGTGTGGTTTATTGTGGTTGTGCCTTTATTTATAAAGCGGGCCAAGATGCCTTTTTCGGTAAGCTATTTGTTGATGCATGTAGAATTCAAATCAAGAATCTTTGGTTGTTACATAGTTGCGTGAAATCTATGTTTGTGTCGATAACCTTTTGGAAAGAAGGGATTATTGTGCACGTCAATACCAAAATTACCAAGTCATTTTGTTGGTGTGTATGTAACATATGCTAACTTAGCTGCCCCATGTATCTATTTTCTTGAACTGGAGAATTGACATCAACTTTTTATCCAGGGCCTCTAGGTGTCGTCTTGCAGTCTTGCTGCTTATTACTAGTAATCTACCTTCCATGTGTCTCTATTTCTTGAAATCAAAAATTGACTTCCCTTTTAATCCAGGTCTTCTTTTTGTGCGAGAGATTATCTGGTGGCCTTCTTAATAATCAATATTTGATTATTGAAGACACGTAGGGCAATGCTGTTGAAGAAGCAAGTTGAAAGCTCACTCTTGTCACTTGTTACTGGATGTATTATGTGTTATCTCAGGAGAACTGATCATTCCTTACTACTGACATATTATGTACTATTGCATAGAATTGCTCAGCTAATCAAATTTAGTCTATGGATAATCTACTGCATAACCCTTTTGGAGTGCACAGTTACATTTCAAACCATGAAATGCAGCATACAACTTCAACATTCAGATCCTCTCCGGGCCCTTGTGGCAAGTGTTGTACGCTGCTGGCATGCATTGTGTGGAGAGCAAAGGAGGGAAAATGTGATGGGAGATGGCTGGGTGCGGATCGGGCTCGATGTTCAGTTCCTCTCTGCAATAAAGGCATCAGCGGCGCAACCACCGCCTTTCCAAATGTTTCACTTCTCTGAATGTTTCAAGTTTGTTAGTATGAAGCACCATCGGCACTTAAAGAAAATGCTATATATCATCTAATTGCAAGCATATATTTTCATTCTCCAAGTTGAAATTTCCTAAATTTTATCTTCCGTGTTTGGAGCTACAACTTCAGTTTCCACTGTATTAACATGCGGTGGTTTAGTCACTATTCTCAATGTATGTATGTCCTCAAAAAGTCGAGAAGCTAATATAGAGTTTTCATACGTAGCAGCAGTTTGAGTAAAAGCTTTAAGTCAGGAATGGCAGCAATATGTTAATCTTAGTGTCATCTCGGTAGCTTCACAATTTTACAACTTCACTTGTACAGAATTGTTTTCAGAAAAAAATGGTTTAGAAACCGCAAGTAATAATAGGGTGATTAAACCTTTGTACTGTTTTCAGAGCACAACACATTTAGAATTCAGATGAACATCTCTCAGCCATAATTTTTGAGTTGGTCAGCTATTATTTGGACTATTTATTCCTATCGTCGCTAATCTCTACATTATAGTATTCCCATTAGTTGTATGTTTGGGTCATTAAGCTGAGCTACTTTGCTGTTTTTTCAGGGTTTGGGAAATTTTCTGGATCAAAGTCGAGATTAATTTGTATAGTTTGACGGATAAATACACTGACAGTTGGATCTCCTGTTTATCAGGTATCATGATTCACATTTTCAGTAGGTTCATTAGGTTGAGGAGCAACTCTTTGCTTTACTGGTCGGGGTGAAGATACCCCGAACAAGCCCCTCAAAGGATTACTTTCCGTAGTAACAGATGACAGTAAATTTCAGCAAACTATATAAATCTTTCCTTACCAAATTCCACCTATCAAAGGCGCTTCACTCCCCGGCAACGGCACCAGAAAAGAGTCTTGATGACCCACAAGTATAGGGGATCTATCGTAGTCCTTTCGATAAGTAAGGGTGTCGAACCCAACGAGGAGCAGAAGGTAATGATAAGCAGTTTTCAGTAAGGTATTCTCTATAAGCACTGAAATTATCGGTAACAGATAGTTTTGTGATAAGGTAATTGATAACGGGTAACAAGTAATAAAAGTAAATAAGGTGCAGCAAAATGGCCCAATCCTTTTTGTAGCAAAGGACAAGCCTGGACAAACTCTTATATAAAGGAAAGCACTCCCGATGACACATGGGAATTATCGTCAAGCTAGTTTTCATCACGCTCATATGATTCGCGTTCGGTACTTTGATAATTTGATATGTGGGTGGACCGGTGCTTGGGTACTGCCTTTACTTGGACAAGCATCCCACTTATGATTAACCCCTCTTGCAAGCATCCGCAACTACAAAAGAAGTATTAAGGTAAACCTAACCATAGCATGAAACATATGGATTCAAATCAGCCTCTTACGAAACAACGCATAAACTAGGGTTTAAACTTCTGTCACTCTAGCAACCCATCATCTACTTATTACTTCCCAATGCCTTCCCCTAGGCCTAAACAATGGTGAAGTGTCATGTAGTCGACGTTCACATGACACCACTAGAGGAAAGACAACATACATCTCATCAAAATATCGAACGGATACCAAATTCACATGACTACTTATAGCAAGACTTCTCCCATGTCATCAGGAACAAACGTAACTACTCAGAAATCATATTCATGTTCATAATCAGAGGGGTATTAATTCTCATAAAGGATCTGATCATATGATCTTCCACCAAGTAAACCAACTAGCATCAACTACAAGGAGTAATCAACACTACTAGCAACCCACAGGTATCAGTCTGAGGTTTTGGGACAAAGATTGGATACAAGAGATGAACTAGGGTTTGAGATGAGATGGTGCTGGTGAAGATGTTGATGGAGATTGACCCCCTCTCGATGAGAGGATTGATGGTGATGACGATGGTGATGATTTCCCCCTCCTGGAGGGATGCTCCCCTGGCAGAACAACTCCACCGGAGCCCTAGATTGGTTCCGCCAAGGTTCCGCCTCATGGCGGCGGAGTTTCATCCCGAGAGCTTGCTTATGATTTTTTCCAGGGC